CTGTCCCCACCCCACTGCCCTCACCTCCCGGTCTGTCTGTCTCCTCCCTGACCTCTTGCCTCCTCCCCTCCTGAAGACCCACCTCCAGGAGCTCAGGGTCAAGGGTGACAGTGTGTTTCCCAGAACTCCGGGGCAGGATGGAGGGGGAGTCTGACCCCAGACCCAAGCGGGACCCCTGTGGAGTTACAGAGAACAGTGGCCAGAAGGGATGGCCCCTGAGCCACAACTGGGCTGGAGGACTGGGGCGCAAGGGGTTCCCCCGTCAACCCCAAACTCAGGCTGCCCCCTCTCTGGCATGAGCGAGGGTTTGGGGCGCTCCTTCTGGCAGAGGATGGGGGCCGACACCCTGCTGTGCCTCCATCATGGGCTCGGGAGCGTCTGTCCCTGACGCCACAGCTGCTGGGCTCTGTGCCTCTGTGACCATCAGCCCGAGGCAGAGGCCTGAGGCCAGCGTCGGGGACTGTCCCCCACCGAGGCCCTAGGCCCGCAAATGCTCTGTTCCAAAGAGAGGCCCAGGCCACAGCAGTGCATGTCAGGAGGGCCTGGACCAGGCAGCAGGGCCCACGCGTGTCCATGGGAGGCTGATGGCCGTGCTCTCTCCCGGCTTCCCTCACGTGTCCACCTGTGCCCCTGAGGGTCCCGCCCCTGCCTACCTAGAGGCCAGCCTGGTGAGAGATTCAGAGCAGCAGCACCAAGCCCAGCTCTACGGGGGGGGCGGGGTTCCCACTGAGGGTCTGTGTGCACGTGTGTGCACGCACAAACACCACCCCTCTCCTGGGCAGGTGCTCCCAGGCTGCGGAGGGCATGCAGGGCAGCTCAGCTCCTGCCGATTGGGGAGTGTCCACAACTCTGTTCACAGAACTTTGTGACTGTGGGGAGCAACAGAGGTGGGGGCCAAGTCTGAACCAGAAGGGTCTCCAGGTCCCCACCTGTGTCCTGGGTTCCCTGGGGGTGTGTGGTCTGTCTGGTCCCTGGGCTGTCCCCTGGGGTCCCGTGGTATGTGTGCCACAGGTGTGTGTGTCTCTGTGTGGTGGTCTTGGGTCCCTGCTCAGCTGTCCCCTGGGTGTGTGGGGCCCAGGGAGAGCTGTCCCCTCCCCCATCCTCAGGACTCCTGGGGGGGTCTCCCCAGGGTGGGGGTCTGGGACTCAGTGCTCAGGGGCACCAGCAGGGAAGGGAGGGACAGGGAAGAGATGTGGATTTTCCGGGCTGACGCAAGCAGAGTAGCATGTTGGTAGATAAGGCTGGCCAGGGCTGGCCTGGTCCCAGGTCCCAGGAGGCAGCCCCCAGGCCCCATGGCCCCGCCGCCCGCCCGCTGGGCCCAGGCTCAGCGCTCTGCTCCGAGCAGGTCTTTGTGCCCCAATCTCACAGGCGCGGGGGTGGACGGGTTCCTTGGCACGGCTCAGCCTGGAACCACATGTGACTGCCGCTGCTCTGTGGGCCCCAAGGTCGCGGCCTCCCATAAATGGGGCAGACCAGCCGGCAGAGGCAGAGCTCCAGCGGCAGCAGCAGACGGGCTCTCGTCCGTGCTCCCAGGCTCCGCGTCGGCGCCGACCGCTGGGGACCCGCGGCCTCCCTGCTCCTCGCCAACCTCCGCGGCCTCTGCTCACAGGAACCCTCGCCCAGGACCTGGACTGCGGAAGCTGCTCGCTGTTCCTTTTTCCTATGCATATACTTCTTTGCGGGTCTGGCCTGAAGAGGTGTAGGCATGGGAAAATGGGGCAACGAGGTCCTCCTCACCACCCAGCCGCTCCCAAGCCCGTGCTCCCAGGGCCCTGCGTCCCTCCGCAGGCCCACCGGCCGGAGCACAGGATTTTGTGTGTCTTCGAGGGGCCACCGTGGCTGATCTTTGCCCCCAGGGCCCGGCGTGCCCCTGAGAGAGTCCCAGAAACTGTAGGAGCAGGACGGGGGGCGGGAGCCCCACGAGGGTGGCTTCCGTGGGCGGGAGGCTGGGGCAGGCGGCGGGCAGCTCGCAGAGGGTGCCGTGGGGTCCGGGTCATGGCGATTTCTGCTCCTTGTAATGGTGAGTGTGAGTTCATTTTCTGATGAGAAATGTCAATAAAGCTGACTTCACATGAACTCAGGCGTGATCATGTTTGAGTGCCAGAGCTCAAATCGCAGCTGCCCAGGCTGGCCTCCTCTCACCGCCAGTGCGTGTGGGGGGCGGTCGCACGGGAACCATCTCGGTCTCGGAGGAACTTAGTAGGAAATGTCTGGACAGGACGTGAGCGGCAGACCTGGCTCTGGGTGGGTGCGGGCCTGGGCGGCAGCAGAGCCCTCGGGCGGGTGTCCCCAGGGTGCCTGGGAGCAGAGGGTGGGCTGGGTGGGCCGGGAATCCGCCACAGCCCCCGCGGGTCAGGGTGGGGGCCCCTCGACCCAGGAGCCTGTGGTCTTAACTTCCTGGTGTAGAGAATTGGACTGAAGCCCTCAGGAACCGAGCGCTTCCACAGCCATCGTGGGCCTTTGTCGGCTAATCGGCCCAGCAAAGGGAGCAATTACAGGCCCCCTTTATCAGCTGGCCTGTCCCCTAATCTCATTTGATCATTCCTCCCTCCCAGCCCACAGCCTCTGGGAGGAGGGGAAGGGATAGGCTGGGTGGCAGTAGGGTGGGCAGTCCCCGGAGCCCCTCCTGGTGCTTTGTCCTGGTGGGGCTGCGGGGAGGGTTCCCAGTGCGACCCTTTAGAGTGCTGCAAGAAAGCAGGTACCCCAGCAGCGCTCAGTGTGGACATGGTGGACAGGGCCTGGTTCCAGGGTACCGGGAGGGCCATCCCTCAGCACGGCTGTGGCTTTCCCAGGGTTCTGGGCTGACTGTGGTCACAGGCCTCACGCCAGCGCTGCGGAGTTGGTGGGGGGGGGGGTCCCTGTCGACCGACCACTTGGATCTGGGTGGGCTGCTGCCTTATGACCTTCAGAGAGCTGCCTCGGCTGGGATTGACGGCCCTACGGGGCTGGGCCACTGCCATGGAGGTCATCCTCTCACAACTGTGGCTGCTGGGCAATGATGGGGTCCCAGGGACAGCCCTCCTTCTCGCCCTGAGTACTCAGAGTAGAACGTGTGCAGAGAATAAGAGGTGTGCATTTTCACCATTGGGGCAGTGCAGGGTCCCCACAGACACCCCAGAGTGGGGTGGGGGGCAGCAGACAACCTCTGCTAGCAGGGTGGTGGGGTGGGGGTCACTGCCTGGGGCCTGCCCTGTCCCGCCTGGGCATGCCTCTAGTGCAGCCAGCGCCCCAGCGGCCCCAGCGGCCACTTGCTGTGGTTTTAGAGAAGTGCTCGAGGACACAGGCTTCGTGTCCACTGACTGCCACCCGGCCCATGGAGAGACCCTGCCGGGAATCCTGCTGCTTTCCCGTGGTTCAGCCAGAGGTCGCCACTGCTGCCTTGGCTCCCTGACCCCTGACAAGTGACTTCAGAGGAGCCCCAGCTGGGGTCCATGGTGAAGTTCCTATTTTCTGTAAACTGGAATTTAGGTTTTTGGCGAGACTATTTTCACATGTGCTTCCGTCGGTGCTGAGCCAGAGTCGGTGAAGCCAGCATTCCTGTGCTGGTCACAGCCGAGGGGGACCCAGTGTCCTACAGTGGTCCAAGCAGCGTGGGGAGGGGCTTAGGAAGCCTGGACCCACCAGTCAGTCCCACCCCCGAGCCCAAAGGTGACTGCTGGCCGTGAAGGCCACTCGGGTTATAGAGGAGACCAGGCGAAGGGGCGTCCTCTGCCCAGAAGCGAGCGGATGTTCCAGACACATGATGCCCCAATACAGGGTGAGTGGGTCCTGGGAGCAGAGGAGACAGCACAGATGCCCCGGTCACACCGGACAGAGGATGCAGGAAACGCAAGGCACTGTGACTCTCAGCTTCCCTTGGAAACACTGGGCAACTTGGAAGTAGAAGGTAACTAGATGCTTGAGTTTTTAGGGGTGTAGAAAGGAAGAATCCAGTTAGGGGTTTTTGAACCAAAGATGAAAACACACAAAGCTCGACAGTGTGTGTTGAAGCAAACCCTCACTCCCCAAGAAATCCTCAGGAAAAGACCTGGCAGGACGGCAAAGGAACAGCAAGTGATGGCGTGGCGGCCGTCCCCACAAGAGGGCTGAGGCTGTGGCCTCTAACGAGCCTGTGGCTTTGCTGCCCCTGGACAGGTCTGTTCGGAGGCCCAGACTCCTGCTGCTGGAGCTGGGCAGAGCAGCTCTCAGTGTCCCGTGGCAGCCTTCTTCCTGGCAGGCACCCAGGAGCCCAGGCCAGCCCGGCCAGAGGGACTGGTGAGAGGCTGAGCCCTCGAGCCAGGTCATACACAGGTTTGGATGCCGGCTCCCCACGTTTTTCTGGCCAACAGAAAAAGCAGAAGGGCCACGAGAAGGACGCAGCATTGTGGCCAGCTTGCACGGGCTCTGAAGACACAGCGGAGGTTGCAACCCCACTGGCTTCTGCGGCTGCAGTGGGAAGGCAGGCATTCTGCATTCCTCCCTGGTTCCAGCTTTGGGGTCACTGTTAACATGGAACTCAAACCCCAAGGTGATAAAAACGAACATTTCACTTCCTCTGATCCCTCATGGTTTCCACTCGAAGCTTATAAGCATACAACACAAGAAAGTCTCCATCTGACTTTTTAAGATTTTATTTTTAAGCTCTACGCCCAACGCAGGGCTTGAACTCACAACCCCGAGATCCAGAGTTACGCTCCTGCTCCACCCAGCCAGGGACCCCTGAATCTTTATTTTTCCAACACTTCATAATGAATAGATTACCATTTGATCCTGCGCTAGAAACCCAACAATCATCAAGTCCACTTCCGGCTTTTGATTTTGTTCATGGACCACTTCACTTCATTCTTAAACTAAGCCTGGAGTAGTATTCAGTGAATGTCTTCAACTGTAACCCTCTGGAACCTTACGGTGGGTCAGGGCTCCAGGTCCCGCCTGCAGATGGGCACCCAGATCACACCCGGCGTTGCTGTGATGGAAACAGATGGTGGACGGCTCTCCTGGGAGATGCCGGGTGCCGCTCTGCACGCACCTGCTCCGGGTGGGGCAGCTCCCGCTCCAGCCCAGGCCTCTGGCTTATCACACTTCCTCAAAAGGCATCCCCGGTCTGGGGCAAGGCACACTGGTCCCAGGGTCCCCTGGGCAGGGCTGGGCCCAGCGTGTGCTCCGGGAGGCAGAGCATCAGAGGCTGTCTGCTGCGCGGGGCCCACGCCAAGGCCAGGGAGGCTTGCTCCGCTTGGCAGGGATCCCAGATGGAGCCAGGGGGTTGTGTCAGAGCGGGAGGCCCCAGCGGGGATGCCCAAGGGCACAGAAGCTGCAAGCCACTGCCGAGGGCGGAGGGGGGCGGGCAGAGCGCTCCCGGGAGGGGGCTGCTCAGCTGGGAATCCTGCAGCTGACGCTTGTGTTTCATGCGGCGATTCTGAAACCAAGTTTTTATCTGTGGGAAAAACGCGATCAGAGCAGGGGCGACGGCCGCCGCAACTCCCGGACACCCGCCCAGCCCGGCCGGCCCCTCACCTGGACCTCCGAGAGCCGCATGTCCCTGGCCAGCCTCCGGCGCTCCGCGGGGCCCAGGTAGCGGCGGCGCTGGAAGGCGCTCTCCAGGGTGCTGACCTGCTCCGCGGTGAAGGCCGTGCGCACGCGGGGAGCCCGCAGGGCGTCTGCCTCCCTGCTCCAGCCTGGGGAGAAACGGAAGGGCACTGAGTCCCCGCAGGAGCAGGGCCTCCCGGCTCAGGCGGCTTTCTCTACTCTGCCGTCCCACCGCGGCAGCCCTCCCCTCCCCTGCCAGCTTGAGCATGGGGTGGAGTCTGGGGACACCAACACCAAACGAGGCCTCTGAACAGCACAGCTCTGGTGCAGCTGTCAGCCTCCGCCACTGCACGCAGACCCCATCCTTCCAGGGAGCAGTTTCTTTGGCCTGCACACAAGGAACCCAGGTCGCAGGGGCGGCCCTGAGGGCACAGGGCCTTCATCCCGATGCCCCCAGGCTCCCCTCCCACCAACTGAATCTGTGACTAATTTCTTCCTGATTTTACATTTATTTATTTTAGGGGCGGGGGCAGAGGCAGCATCTCAAGCCGACTCCTCCTGGGGCCTGAGGTCAGGACCCGAGTCAGACACTTTGCACAGCTGTGTCCCCCAGCACCCCACGTCCGATCTCTGAACCAAGAGGTGGTTGGCGGCACCGTGCAGTGAGGTGCGCTACCGCTCTTTCTTCAAAGCACGACTGACCAAGATGCCAAAAGGCTTTTTGAGGGGGAAGCAGATCTTACAAACTAATTCTAACACTTAGCTGGAGTGTGCAGGACGACACGTGGGGCTTTGCCTGGGGGGCAGGGGTAGGGGTGACTCGTCAGCATGAAGGATTTGGACACAGGGATGACTGGCTGGGTTTTTTTTTTGAGAGGGGGGCATACTGGTTGCAAATGATACATTTAAAATTTTACTTCATGAAAGTATAAAATTCTTCCATAAGATTAAACTTCTTCAAAAATGGAAACTTAGAGGCGCCTGGGTGGCTCAGTCGTTAAGTGTCTGCCTTCGGCTCAGGTCCCGATTCCAGGGCCCTGGGCTTGAGCCCCTGCTCAGCGGGGAGCCTGCTTTTCCCTCTCCCACTCCCCCTGCTTGTGTTCCCTCTTTTGTTATGTGTCTCTCTCAAATAAATGAATAAATAATCTTTAAAAAAAAGATAATATCAACTCCACTTTGACTACATAGGACTTTAAAGCTAAAACCAATGATTACACCACGAAAAAACAGACTGAGAAACCCTCATCAGCAAAGTACAAGGCTAAGACAGACTTTAGGAAGCCATCAGAAGGGGCGCCTGGGTGGTTCAGTGGCTTAAGCCTCTGCCTTCGGCTCAGGTCAGGATTCCAGGGTCCTGGGATCGAGGCCTGCATCGGGCTCTCTGCTCTGCCGGGAGCGTACTTCCTCCTCTCTCAGATAAAATCTTAAAAAAAAGGGGGGGGGCGCCTGGGTGGCTCAGTGGGTTAAAGCTTCTGCCTTCGGCTCCGGTCATGATCTAGGGGTCCTTGGATCGAGCACTGCATTGGGCTCTCTGCTCCACGGAGAGCCTCCTTTCTCCTCTCTCTGCCTGCCTCCCTGCCTACTTGTGATCCTGTCAGGTAAATAAATAAAATCTTAAAAAAAAAAAGGAAGTCACCAGGAAGGACCTCGGAGCCAAGGCACAGAAGGTATTGGCAATTCCCAAACACAGGCAAGCAGGGCGGTCCCAGACCCATAGGGCTCCAGGTCCACTGTGAATAGGCGGCAATCTGGATGCCATGCCCAGGGGCCCAGCTTTGAGGGCAGATCCACAACGACCCCTGAACCGGACGGCATTCACAAGCGTTAAGACACGCGTGTCCAGAGCCCTGTGACTCCTGCAGAAATGGGCCCCAAGGACATACTGCAGAACTGGAGCCAGCCACGAGGGTGAATGTTGGGAGTCCCAGCTCCCAGCGGGGAGCTGCCGCAAGGTTGTGGGGGTCCCCCGCCAGAGCCAGAAGAGGTGGGCGGGGAAGAGTAGCCCCCAAGGGACGTGAGGAGAGAAACACTCCGCTGTGGCTTTTGCTTCCCAGGGCAAGTTATCTGCCTGCCAGAGGGGTTAGATGGAACCTCCATCCCCAGCCCTTGTAAGAATGTCCCCACCTCCGAAGGCCTCCCCCTGAACCCTCCCTGGCTCCCGTCCCAGTCTGGGAAGGCAGCAACCTCCCCGCCCATCCCCACACCTACCAGCCGTGGGCGTCCCCCGCGAAGACACTTCTGAGGGCTTCTCCTCCGTGCTCCCAGGCTGAGGGAACCCCCTGCTGCAGGATACCCTGGCTGGAGCAGAGACGCTTCTCCAAGAGACTTCAGCAGGCCTGCAGGTGTGTGATGGCCCCACACAGCTGCTCTGGGAAAGCCAGTCCACGGAGCCAAACCTGGATGGCTTGGGGCCACTGGGTAGGGCAGCGGAGGGAGACATGGCTGTGGGGCCAGCCTCAACGTTCCCAGAATAGATGATGGGGGCTAGGCACAGGGTCCTCAGCGGGTTCAGCAGAGCTGAGTGGCATTTATAAGCTCAGGAGGAGGGAGCTCGCGAGGCTGGTAGGCGTAGATGGCTTAAGTCCTCCCCCCACCCCCAGATAAGTAGCACCTAATTGCCTTCAATTCAGAGGTACAAAGGAGGCCATTCACACCTCCCCACCGGCTCCAAGATGTCTGGAGAGGGGCGGGGCTGTGGCCACCAGTTAGGCGACCTGTGGAGGTGGAGCACTGGTCACATCCTTCCAACTCCCCCAACCCCCACCTGGGCTGGCCCCTCCCAGCTGAGCACCCACGCTGCAGGCCTGTCCTCTGCGGGAAGCAGAGCCACCTCGTCTCCCACCCCGTGGGGATCTGCAGTGCCAAAGGTAACAGGTGTGCACACCTGCTTCAAGTCGGGGGAGCCCACATTAGTGTTCCTAGGACCAGGCGGGCGGGGGAGGGGGTCCCAGGGCAGATGTCCAGCAGGGTTGGGGAGGAGGCATTCCTGGATGAGGACTTCAACCAGTCAGGGAGTCCCTGGGGCTCCAACTGGCCACTCCCTCTCAGATTATACCTTGAGGCCCCCCACAACCCTACTCCCCGCCCTCGACTTCACTCTGGTGCCACAGAGCTGGATTCCAGGGACAGAAGGGGGGTGTCTGCCCGCTGGGAGTATGGACTCCTCTGTGCTGCTCCAGAAGGACCCCAGCAGGAAGGACTGAAGAACCACTGTCTTCCCCCTCCCAAAGGCTGCCCCCACTGTGGTCAGCACAGGCCGAGCCGCCAGGGGACGCTGGAGCCCCAAGCCCAAAGGGTACAGCGTCCTCATTCATGAATGGGCTGCGTGGGGCTCCAGGGAAGAGTCCCTTTGGGGTCATGCACCCCTCCCACGTCCTCAGGTGGCCACCTCCTCTTTCTTCAGGACGCGACCCCAAGGACCGGCAAGAGCGGCCTCCGGGGCGAGTGCCACCCCCCCACCCCAGCGGGTGTGGTGGCTCCAGTCCACCCCCGACTCCTGGGGGCGCCGGCGCCAGCCTGGGCGGGACCGCCGGCCTCTGCGCCCGCCCTGCCCTGCGGGATCAAAGGCCCCTCGGGCCTGGCCGGGATTAACACCCGCAACCCCGCCTTCCGAGCCTCTCAGGCCGGGCAGGGGGTGAAGTCGGAGTCCGGCGGGCGCGGCGGGATGCAGCAGGCGCTGACCCCGGCCCGTGAAAGGTCAGAGGAGGGACCGCGATGCGTCTGCGCCAGCCAGTCGGTCCACCGGACCCCGCGGCTGCCCGCAGCGTGTGCCGGTGTGACCCACGCAGGGGGCGGGGGGGCCGCGCCAGCCGGACGACGGGCAGTCACCCTCCCAGACCGCTCGGGCCGCCTGAGAACCTCCGCGGGCACGAGTGCGTCGCGCGCTCACACTCGCGGGGGAGACCCCGGGGGTCAGCGCAGCCGCCCCGGCCCCGCGCCGCCTTAGCGCGCGCGGTTTCCTCCTTTCCCATCCCGCAGCCTGCCGGGGGGTCCTCCGTCGGGGCGCCCTCCCGCCCACACCCCCCAGCCGACCCCCACCGCGGCCGCCCACACCGCCCTGGGCTCAGGGCCCCCCCCCTTCGCCCGGGGGCTGGGGCTCGTGTCCGCCGGGGTCTCCCCTCCCCGCCGCCGTCTGGGTCGCTCCCGCCGAGCCCCGCCGGCCGCTTCCGCACTCGGGCCGCAGGCCCTGCCCCCCGCGCCCCGCGTCCGCCGCCTTCCGCGGGGTCGGGATCTCCCGCCGGGTGGCCTCGGCTCGGGCCGCTGACCTTCCCCCGAACCCCGCACGTGCTCGCCGCGGAGAGGGGGCGCCCCCGGCGGAGTCCCTCCCGGGCCCTGGCAGCCCCGCCCCCGACTCACGCCTAAGCCCCCGTTTCCGCGACGGGACCTTCCCGGACCCGAGCCGTCCGCCCGCGCTCCGGAGCCCGCGTCCCGCCGCCCGGACGCCTCCGCCCCGCCCCGCCCCGCGCGCCTCCAGGGCCAACCCGGACGCTCGGCCGAGGGCGGTCCGCCCCGCCCAGGACCCCTTCTCCACGCCCACCCCGTTAGGAGGGGCAGGCGGGTCCACGCCGCCCCGCCGCTCCCCTTTCGGCCCCGCGCGGCCGCCCCAAGCTGCGGGAAAAATGGAAGCCGCCGCCCCGCCCCCACCGCCCGCCGCCCGGCGACCTCCGATCGCCCACCGGGCGGCCCCTCCCCTTCCCTCTACACCCCTCCCCCGCTCTTTGCCCCGTAGCCTTCGCCCCGGAGCCCCCTGCTCTACAGACTCCCCCTCGGCCGTCCCACGCCCCTCTCTGGGCTCCCCCCCCACCGCCTCCGCTGGAGCCCCCCGACGTCCTGTTTGTGCTCCTGGTGGAAAGAACCTCGGTGCGCGTTTGGAACGGGGTGGACAGGACCCCACCCCAGCTGGGTGGGGGGTCAGATTTCCGGGCTGCCGGTGTGAGGAGGCAGAAGCACCCCCAACCCCTCCCTCGCGCCACAGCGGCAGGGCCAAGGGACACAGGACCCTCCGGCTCTGTGTCCTGAGGCAGGCCTGGGGGGGGAACCAAAACCAGGCGGGGCGAATCAGGTCTCCCCGGAATGGCAGGGAGTGCGATGTGTCGCTGATCCTTCTGGGACCTGGCAGTTCGGGTGAGGCCAGAAGAGCCCTTGAAAGAATGGCTCAGAACCAAGGGCTTGGGAAGTAAGGGACGGAGCGCGGGGCCCACTGGCTGTCGCGGAGGTGAGAGTCACACTCGCCCTCTGGGCAGAACCGCTTGCCTCCCGCCAACAGCTAGACCCCAACAGATTCCCCAGCTCCTGGTGATGGAGAGGAGGGCTGCCTCCATGAACGAGGCCTGGCAAGCCCACCAGGACAGATCCAGCCACTCTGTGGGGCTGGCATCTGCACCAGGCCAGGAGGAGGACACTGACAGAGCCGTTGCCTGTAAAAGCGGAAGAACAAAAAACGTTAGGATTTCTCTAGAATTATCACAAGTGACTGTTCTGGGAGAGAGCAGCTGCGAATGACCCCTGGTGGGCACCACGGAAAACAAAGTGAGGGGGTGGCTGGGAAGACCTCTGGAAAGTTAGAGTGGACTGGGCCCTGAATCCCGAAGCTGCCTGCGTGGTCGATTTGACAAGTGCCCGGGAGCTTGGCTCTAACAGAGCACCAGAGGCTGGAGAATTAAACAGACACTTCTTTCTCCCAAGTCTGGAGGCTGGAGGTCCGAGACCAGGGTTCCAGTGGGGGCCACCTCCCGGCCAGCAGCTGGTCCCTTCTCCGCTGTCCTGTCTCTCTTCAGAAAGCGCTAATCCCAGTGAGGAGGCTCCACCCTCACGGCCTAGGTCGTCCTAAAGGCTCCACCTCCTAACACCATCAAAAGCGGGGTTAGGATTCCAACATGGGAATTTGGGGGACACAAATATCCAGTCCGTAATATAGAGCAATATGGTTTCTTAGGGGCAGAACTGGTGTGGGAGGTCAAGCAGGAACCAATCATGCAGTCAGAGGGGCTGGCCTCCAGGGGACATCACAGGAGGGAGAAATCACGGATACCTTGAAATTGGAAAAGAGGGGGTAATCAGGCCGACCACTGGCCTCCGGCAAAACTGAAGGAATATAGAGGAGGCTGTACTACCTCCTTATAAATTTACCAGAATTTTAGGGATGTGTTCTTTGCAAAAACGATGGGTCAAGAACAAGAGTGGCGCCTGGGAGGCTCGGTGGGTTAAGCCGCTGACTTCAGCTCAGGTCATGATCTGGGGGTCCTGGGATGGATTACTGCATGGGGGGGGGGGTCCCTGCTCAGCGGGGAGCCTGCTCCCCACCCCCCGTCAAATAAATAATGATCCCTGTCAAATAAATAAATAAAATCTTAAAAAAAAACTATTAAAAAAAAAAGGAACAGGAAGCCATTGGCTTTGACTTGAAATGCAGATTTCAGAGCCTGCCCTGCCTCAGAGCAAGTCGGAAAGCAGCAGTGGTTTGAGTGTTGCAAACGCCGAAATGTTTATCCGTAGAGCAGTACACAGATGATGTAATTAGAGGAAGAAACCGGGAAGAGGCAGTAATTCGGACAGATAAACAACGAAGACTGAGAAGACGCAATTTCAAACACGAAATCACAAAGGAAGTTTACTTTTGTTAGGGTTTTAGGCTCAGCTGGGCACCGGAGAGAGCACAGGGGCCAGAGCTCACTCCAGACAGCAGGTGTGGACACAGGCGGGAGTAAAACAGCGGCACCCAAATCGACAGGGTTCTTTGCCTATTTGGAGAATATTTAACATTGAGGTCTTCTCGTATAACCGCACTGATCACCAGAAAAAGGTTGCCGCACAAGGGCCTGGACAGTACTGGTCCGTGATGGGTCAGCACGACGTGATAACACGCACACTTCACTCCTGAAGGGAGAGGTGCTGGGCTGGGCAGGGAGGAGAGGACCCTTGGCCACGGAGCTTCCTAGGCTGAGCTGGTGAGGGACGCGGGTGACGTGGACACTTCCTGGCCCTCAGTGCAGCAGTGAACAGAGCGTGCCCGAGGGTGAGCTCCACTTGAGCTGGGGGGGGGGATGGGGGACAGCAGGGCACGGGGTTGCACCACCTGCAGTGCACCGTCAGGCAGATGGGTTTTTCTTGGTGACCCCAAGCATCTCAAACTCAGTAGCTTCCACAGATTTCCTACAGTTACGAAACAGCCTTTCTCCAAGGCAGAGGGTCCCTGGCGACTGGAGTGAGTCCCACACTTCCTGGCATTGTCTCTAGCCCGGGGGGGTGGGGGACATATTT